CTTCTCCAATATCATCTGCCTGACCCTCATGTTCAGACCTCACACATGCTGCATAAGGGTACTTGGGAAAGGAAGAGAGGCTGGGAGGGGATTCTCCCACCTCCTTTTTCCATTCCCCTCATGTTTCCATTCCCCTCCTTCTGTCTGATGGCAGGAGGATCAGGGCTCCCACAACTCTTGCTGAGCTTCCATCCACTACATTTCTCTCAAGGGGGAAGAGTGTGACCCCCACCAGTTTATTTCACTTTCTCACTCCCTGATACTCCTCAACTTGATTAAATTGGGATTTTTTTCACAAAGACACCTTAAACACACATATAGAAAAAATAATTCTCAAAATATGTAGAATAGAAAACACACAAATAAAATAGGTATTTCTAGCTATTACTAACTGCTTTGAGATTTTTCCAGAAATTCATCCATTTCTGGAATTTCCCTTTAAGAAACCATATTTTAACTTTTCATCCAATAAGAAATAGTGCTAACAGTTCACATGCTTCTATAGTATCTTTTAATATGAAGGTTTGACTTAAAAAAATGAAAGTAAACTATCTGTCCTAGGTAACCTAGGTGACCCAAAAAAATCATATATTTCATATCACACAGAGCTCCCAGCTCTCTCTTGCTCTCTCCAGGCTCCCAAGGGGATTGCCTCGGGCACATCTCTGTATTGCAACCAGAGAAGCTGCACTTCTCAATCCAAAACTGCTTCCGAAGGGATTTTACAACATTTTCAATGTTTGTTTTCTCTTTTTTTCTGCCGTCTGTCGTCTCCTGTGAGGCAGTGTGAGGCAGGAGGGGGTTTTTTGTTCTCAATGTGCTCCGGAGAATTTCAGAATACCTTTCACTCCTGCTGCCTGCCACTCTGCCGAGGTGGGATTGGACCTGTGATTTTCCAAGGAGGAGTCAGACCCACTTTTCATGGCTTTTCCAGCTTTTCTCCACATGGGCTGATATAGTGTAGGGTAGGTAACCAATTTTGGAGTCTCTGCCCTGTAAATTGCCTTAAACTAAAACACTGTCTTGGACCATATTGACATATTTACATCACAAAAAGTAGTGTATTATATAATTTGTCCTGAAATCCTTACAGAAATGAGACAGCTTTCCCAAAGCCACCAGGTCAGACACAGAATTTAGTGTATCATAGGTTTAATGTTCCAAGAGTCAGTGAGAGCCTCCTTCCATTCATATTAATAGAGATTCTTGTTTAAGTAGAAAAGTCAGTCCTTCTGACCACTTTGTAAAACTTGCATGTGGACTGGATTGCCACTATAAATTTTGGCAAAGTAATATCTGACTGTGGATGAGATTTCACTCCAGAATTTTTAATCTATGTCCACACTCATATATATACGTGTAGCTTTATGTGTATGCATGCTTACAAAGACACATGAGAATAGATACAAATGGATAGGATAAGAGATTAATTCAAAGAAGTTTAGAAGACTATTAAGCAAGAAAAAACCAAAGAATATAAGTTCAAAGTTCGAAACAATCTTCAGAAGCAAGAAAGCAGACAAGGAAGACAAGAGACCAACCAACATGGCTGAGTCAGTTCACCTGCTGGTGAAACTAAAGAGAAAGAAACAAATTCTCAGACGGTAGAAGCTAGGACAGGTGACCTGGGAAGAGCATAGAGACAAAGTATGGTTGTGTAGTTAAAGG